AGAAACTGACAGGCACGTGCTTCTAAGGCCTAGAAACAGTTCAGAGGCTCGGAGGCAGCATGTTTGGGAACTGAGGAGTAGGTGGTTGGGCTGGAGCACAAATGAGGAGGTGAGAGGATAAAGTCAGAGAGTTGGTGACCTAATCGTGGAAGTCCCTGTAAGCCATCCAGAGGCTTTTCATTTTACTCTGATTAAAGTGTGGATAAAACTGCAGAGCCTATTTTATGCATTCCATAAAAATAGAGACAAATGCAGAGGGCTGGCATGATCTTCCTTAGAGTTTCGCAGGGATCTGTGTGCCGGCTGTGTTGTAGAGAGGAGATGACAAAGCAGCAAGGCTCGGAAAGGGGAGACCCTGGTGGCAAGGCTGTTAAAGTAGCCCACATGAGATGATCGTGGCCTGGACCAGGGCAGTGGCTGGGCAAGCGAAGAGAAATGGTCAAGTTCTGGATTAATAGGATCTCATCACACACAGGATGTAGGTTTAGGAAAGTTTGTTGTACTTTATGACAAATTAGGGAAGAAAGAACAAAGAGCCAGAACGTGAATTTCATACTGCCCCAGGAGAAGCACATTGCATGTGGCGTTCTGGGTATTTGGGGTAATGCATCTCTAATGCTGCCTGTCCTGTAACGGAACCTGTTGTTAGACGTGCACCATTACATTAGGGGTAGTTTTAGCTGAGATGAACAGAGCTGTACTCAGTTGTAGGTTTAGTTCCAAATCAGAAACACCTGGCCTCAGGAGGCAGGCACAAGGCAACAGGACAGAGGGACCAGTCACCACAATGTGCGGCTGCCCCTTGGGTTTCGCCTCCAGAAGCACACAGGGAAACCACAGGACGCAGTTGGGGGGTGTTCTCTTCTCCACAGGTGTAAGAAGGAATGAATGGGTCTGTTTGGGACTTGGTTTTTTGTAAATGGATGTCTGGTCACTGACACCAAACATTTCAAAAGAAGGTGTGTGATTATTTACTTAGTTCTGAGGCCAAGTAGTCAGAGGCTTCAAGTCTCAGATGATATTTCAGCCCCTGGCCGTGTAGATGGACTGGTGAGGCCCCCACCTTTTACTCTTTCCCACCCTCCTCCCTGCTCTGAGCCCATGAAGCTGGGAGAAGGGCTCTGTGTGAGTGGGTCTGCGTCTGGTGTCTTGGTGCAGAAAAGTGTTCTGTTGTGCTCCGGTTCCACTTGTATCTGGCCGTCTGATGCATGCAGAGTGTAGCAGTGAGCGGGGAGAGGAAGACAGAGTTTGAATGTGGCTGAGGAATGTGTCTTCTGAGCAGGCCTACAGGCCACTTTGTGTGAGACCGGCTGCCCTTGAGCCAGACTGGAGCCATGAGAGAAAATGGGCAGATTCATTAACATTCTGTCTACGAATGTACATGCACCGTTCGCTTTAGCTGTTGGGACTTTGTCCACAGTTCTAGGAAATGGAGAACGAAGAGGAGAAAATCAGGCTATCTATATAGCATGTGACTTACGTGCTTTTAGTGTTGGGTTTTTTTGTTTTGTTTTTCAGTGTTTGTTTGTTTTAAGATTTTATTTATTTGAGAGAGTGAACGTGAGCACGAGCAAGGGGTGGAGGGAGAGGGAGAAGCAGCAGGGAGCCCTATGCAGGGCCCCATCCCAGAACCCTGGGATCATGACCTGAGCCCCGAGGGCAGGTGCTTAACCCACTGAGCCACGCAGGCTCCTTAGTAGTTTGTTTTTTGACAAAAATATTATATGTGATGAAAAAATTTTCAATAAAGAAAGAAATGAATAAATTAAAAGGTCTCTCTTACCCTCAATTTCATTTCTAGGAATAATCACCTAATAGTTTGGTGTCTTCTAGGACATTTTCACTGTGTATATAACGTGTGTGTATGTGAATACAAAGGTGTTTTTTTTTTTAATTGAATTAGGATTGTGTAATAAATATTACTGCGACTTGCTCTTTTTTCTCAGTGTATCTCAAACAGCTGTACATCAAAAACTGGACTTTAATGACTGTCCTTCGACACACATACATAGTTTTCTAGGACAGATTCCCAGATGTAGAATCACTGGTTTCATGCATTTAAAATTTGCTTAATACTGTCCAACTCTCCTCAGAAACTGCCGGTTTACGTTGTCTCTGATTGCCAAAAAATGAATGCAGTCTTCAGTTGAACTCAGTAGCAATAAGGTATCCACAACAAGAGAGGTATGTCTGTTGCGTGATGAGACCAAGATATGTCCATAAGCTCTGCTTCATGTGCTGCAGAGCAGAGATGACCCTCTTGGAGCCACGCTGTAGCCTGCTGTCTGGGCACTGCGCACACCCCAGTGGACCTTTCTAGCCCACATTGGAGCTTTAGTTTAAACTGAGTTCTCTTTTAGGAGTGTGTGTATGCGTATGTGTGTGTTTAATCACTCATCTATTTTAATTCTTCTAGTTGCTTTTTTTTTTTTTTTAAGATTTTATTTATTTGACAGAAAGATAGCGAGAGCAGGAGCACAAGCAGGGGGAGTGGGAGAGGGAGAAGCAGGCTTCCTGCCGATCAGGGAGCCCGATATGGGACTCGATCCCAGGACCCTGGGATCATGACCTGGGCCGAAGGCAGACGCTTAACGACTGAGCCACCCAGGCGCCCTTCTAGTTACTTTTTTAATTACCTTCCATGTTTTGAAATGACAAGTGAAGCTCAGGAAAAAACAGAATAATTAAGATTAGTACATTTGTAGACATGGAAAATTGGGCAAATTTTTCTTTCTGAGGTTAATACCTTGAGAGTAAGATCAGTTCCCAAAGAAGGACTGGTTTGGTTTAAAAACCAAACCAAACCACTGAGGCAGGTAATGCAGAGACTAAAATTTCCCTTCAGCAACACAAGATCTCTTCCAGTAACAGTTCAGCTTCTTCACAGAACAGATCTTGACCTAAATTACAGTTCTTACATAACTGCGGGACTTCAGCCAAGCCATCCAGACCAATAGTGCTTGACAAGAACACAGATAAGAGGTCCTTTTCTGGCAATCTCTTATGTCTAACCTCAGCAAAGGCCTGAATTTCTTAGAAAGAATCGTTAGAAGAAAGCGAATCCTAGGACCTGTAGTTAGAATTTTTCAATCCCTTTTTTATCAGTCTGCCTCTTACTCACTGATTAAATGTCTTGCAGAGCTGGACTTCCCAAGGACTCTCTTGCTTTTTACATCTTGCAATTCCCTGTTCATTATACAAACAAGAGGGCCAGGCTTTAGCCTCTTCGGATCACCCACCCTAGAAAATGAAGAGCCCAGACCAGTCTGTTAGGACTGTGGCAGCACCCTGCCGCACTCCCTCCTGATGACCTTCAACCACTCACAAAATCATTTGTTTCAGAAGATCTCCTTCTCCCTGGGAGACTCCCTGCAAGCCAGCTAACCAGCCTCGGACATAAGCTTTTACCATCTATTCTCTCCATTCCCCCTCCTCCTCACCTGGTCATGCCTGTTCTTGTCACTCTGTCTGTGGCCCATCCTCCTGCACCTCCTGCACCCCGTCTGTCCATGGCCACTCCCTGGACATGTTGCTACTCCTGATAACCAGTAATGCTTCTCACTTGGTTCCACAGGGTCTTGTCAGACAGCCTTCTGCTGAGAGCCCATATTCTTAGGCTAACTCTCATGCATATTCCAACCAGTTTTTGCTGGTGATAGTATATGTATTTATGTGTAGAACTGGCTGATCCTGAAAGCTAAAATGTTAAATTTTTTTAATCTATTAAATGCCTTGGAATAGTGCTATTCAGCAGAAATACAGTGTGAGCCACATATGTAATTTAAAATTTTCTAGTAGCCACATTTTTTAAAAAGGTGAAATTATGTTTATTTAATTCAGTACATACAAACTATTACTTGAACATGTAATCAATATGAAAAATTAATTTTTTTCATGCTTAGCATGAATCCTTAGAATTCGGTGTGTGTTTTATACTTAAAACATATTCCACTTCAGATTCGCCACGTTTCGGGTGCTCAGGAGCCTTTTGTGGCTTCTCTCTGCCATCTTGGACGACAGAAAAGCTCTAAAAATGTCTCCCAGTGACTCGGATCTTGCCACTGGAAATGGTGGGCTCAGACATTATTGAAAAGAAATAGATCTGTTAATCCTCCTTATGATCTTTATACTTCCTACTTCCAAAATCTGGATTTTTATTTTCCTTCATGTTCAAGTTGATTTTCTTTTTCAGGCCTGAGTTAAATTAATTTTGATAGCACTTAAGGTGGGCTTCATCCTCTGAACTATTCTCAGGCATATGGTTTCTGGGTTTCCTGGCACGTATAATAGCTTATTTCTCTTTAATTTGGGTCCCAGAAAGATTATCTCGAATATTGAAATACTTATATTCTTCAAATCAAGATTCATGCACATCTTTATTTAGGCACCTAAAATATTCTGTGAATGTGTCACCCAGTATAATTTTGAGTACTTGAAAGCTAAGATTTACGGTGGCATTGCCAAAGCTCCACATAGAAGAATGTGTGTGTTTGCAGCTAAGGCCACGTCCAGTCATCCAAAGGACCTAACTCTGTGTCAGTTCTAAAATAGTAACCAAAGGATCACATCCAGAAGAGAGCACCTGGGAAGGTTGTGTGGACTTGAAATTTTAGTAGTTGAGGGACTATTAAAAGGAGAGGAGAGGTGTGTTTTATTCAGGCAGTCATGAAATCTATTTTTACATCTCCGAAGGCCTGCCAGACAGAGGATTCCATGTGTACTGAGTGGGCCCAGAGAACAGTAACCGCACTGGGTGAAGGTTAGAGGAAAGGCAGACCTTGTGCATAACACAGAAAAGACCTTGACCTTGGTAACAGATGTCCACATAGAAATAAGCTACTCAAGAAGTAATGCCTTTTCTCACCGTAGATGTTGCAGGAGGCAAGGTGGCTATGTCCCCGTGAGGTGGTGTAGGGAAGTCAGGCATCAGGTCCTGTGTGTCATTCATTCCTGAGAAGCTCTCTTGGTGTCCTCTCTCTTCCCCTTCCTTTTCTTAACAGTTAGAACAACAGAGGCAGCAGTTGCTCACTGAACGCCAGAACTTCCACATGGAACAGCTGAAATACGCTGAATTACGAGCCCGGCAGCAGATGGAACAGCAGCAGCACGGGCAGAACCCTCAGCAGGCACACCAGCACTCAGGAGGACCTGGCCTGGCGCCGCTTGGAGCAGCAGGGCACCCCGCCATGATGCCCCATCAGCAGCCCCCTCCCTACCCTCTGATGCACCACCAGATGCCACCACCTCATCCACCGCAGCCAGGTGAGCGGCCGGCTGTGCTCCCAGGTAAGGCTGCAGCCATCCCTGTGGCACAGCTGTCAAAGGAGAGCACCACACCCTTGCTGATTCGGGGCTAGGACTGTGACTAGGATGCCCACTGTCATCTAGGTAGTTGTAGGCAAGTGGGGCCTGGTTGTATAGCCATCACCACATAATGCTTGTCATTTTCTGTTCCTGGTGTGATGCCTTTCCTTGGGTCGGTCAGCCTCCACGTGGCCAGTATATCCCAGAGTTCCTTAAAAATTCATCCTTGGGTTGTCTACACTTGTTTTGTTTTAACTTACACACATTTTTAAAGATAGACACACACAAAAATAATAACGCAGTGAACTCTTATGACCCAGCTTCCACACCCACCACTTCCCCGCCATTTTTCACTTTTTGTTAGAGAAACCTTCTACCATGGGCAAAAGTAGAGCGAATAGTGTAAGAATCCCTCCATATATACCTATTGTGCAGCTTCAGAATTACCGATAATTTTGTTTATTCCTCAGTGCTTATTTTTAAAAATTTATTCCTAAAACTACTGGGATAAATATTTAAGAGAGAAATTCCCTATGGCTACTTGGTGCTTGGTTCTGGCTAGTGTTAAGCATCAGAATCTGTAGTAATTGTTCACAGAGAGCTCCTGAGGAGTTCCAACATCTGCATTTAGCTTGTACAAGACGGGAAGAGGGATGCTTTTGCCTTTTTCCCTAAATTACATCCTGGCGAGGACAAGTCTTTGCATGCTACGCCAGTCACCCACCTTGTTCTGCTCACTTCTCATTGTCCTCACTTTACAGTTGAAGAACTGATGCATGGCAGGGACCACATGGCCTTGCTGCCTGATGGAGCCAGGATTTGTGCTGCGCTCCATCTGATTCCAGAATGATAGCCGGACACTGCCCCGTGACCCCCGGACTAAGAGGGGACTTGCAGCAGATTCAGATACAGCTCTTCTCTTAGGGAGACCATGCCAGAGAAACAAGAGTTCATAAAAATAGCCTTTAGAATAGAAATAGGGCGTTTTTCTCTTTTTACTTTCTCACAGAAATAAGCTCTTCTTCAGTGAATTTTAAGGAAAAGGATCACTGCATGTATGATGAGACTAAAATCTGTGATGAGATCTTTTTTCTTAAAGTTTTTTATTGAAATATAATGTACGTATGAAGAACACAAATCATGAATACTTAGTGAGTTTTAACAAAGAGAATATACCTGTGCAACTACTACCCAAAAGCCCCCGCTATCCTCCTCTCTACCTCCTTTTCTCCTGGGGGCCACAGCTGGCCTGCTTCCTGACAGCAGCGACTAGTCGGGCTTGTTTTCAGTGTTATCTAGAGGGGCTTTTGTTTCTGTCCGGTTTCTTTCACCAACACTTGGTCTGTGAGATACATTCACGGCGTTGGATTTGCGCGTGGTTGCAGATTTATTTCTCCGGTTTGCTGTATATGGTCCATTGTGGGCTCTACCCCAGTTTATTAGTCTGTTCTCCTGTTGATGGACTTTTGATTCGTTTCCAGGCTTTGGTTTTAACAGATAGTAAGTGCTACTGTGAACGTGTGTGTGCACATGTCTGATAGAAATAGGTATACATTTTTTAATGTATTTTTAAATTTAAATTCAATTAATTAACATATAATGTATTATTAGTTTCAGAGGTAGAGGTCAGTGATTCATCAGTCTTTTATAACACCTAGTGCTGATTACATAGCGTGCCCTCCTTAATGCCCATCACCCAGTTACCCGGTCCCCCCACCTACCTCCCCTCCAGCAACCCTCAATTTGTTACCTAGAGTTAAGAGTCTCTTATGGTTTGTCTCCCTCTCTGATTTCATCTTGTTTTATTTTTTCCTGTCTTCCCCTATGATCCTCTGTTTTGTTTCTTAAATTCCATATATGAGTGAGACCATATGATAATTGTCTTTCTCTGATTGACTTATTTCCCTTAGCATAGTACCCTTTAGTTCCATCCACATCATTGCAAATGGCAAGATTTCATGTTTTTTTTGGATGGCCGAGTAGTATTCCATTGTATATATATACCACGTCTTCTTTATCCATTCATCTGTCGATGGACATCTGGGCTCTTTCCAAAGTGGCTATTGTGAGCATTGCTGCTATAAACATTGGGGTGTAGGTACCCCTTCAGATCACTACATTTGTATCTTTGGGGTAAACCCCTAGTAGTGCAATTGCTGGGTCATAGGGTAGCTCTATTTTCAACTGTTTGAGGAACTTCCATACTTTATTCCAGAGTGGCTACACCAGCTTGCATTCCCATCAGCAGCAGACATAGAAATACATTTCTGTTGTATGTGCCCCAAAGTCCCTAGAATGGGTCATAGGATATGCATATGTTCACATTAGTAGATGCTGCCAAGATTGTTCCAGAATGGTCATATGGATTTACATGCTTGCAATGTATGAGAGTTCTAGCAGCTCCAGGTAATCATTTTTCTTCATTGCCCCTTTTGTGGGGGTGCTTTGGAGTTCAAATGTAAAGTTAAATCAAGTGTGTTAGTAAAATTAAGAACAACAATAAATTGAACCCACTAGTTAAAAGTTGCCTTAATATCACCACTTCAGAAAAAGCTGGTTGTTAACAGGTGAGCCTAGGGCACTATATTCTGGTGATGAGCTAAAGGGGCCTTTAAAAGCTGGGCAGGTGAGGAAGTGGGTAGTGTTTTTGGTGAAGTTTCTCTTCAGTCTCTGGTCTGCTACAAGGTGTCAGTTAGGAACTTTGGGTTTGGTCCTTCGAACTGTTGTTTCCTAAGTCCTAGAAAAGTTTACAGGCCACAGCGTTTATGTTAGGAGCTGAGGATAATTATCCAGATCAGTTGGCTAGCTTTTGGTATTTGGCCAGAATTTATGGTGTGTGAAGGAAGGGGAAATCAGCTTCTGAAAAGCCAGCAAGGTTGGGGAAGTGGCGAGAAGGTCAAGATTGATTTCTTACTGGGTGGTTAATTTGTCCAGCTCTGTTAGTTAGGGTTTGTATAATTATGTAGATAAATCCCACGTAATCTCTTCTCCACAAAACTGTCCATCGGTTAGTGGTAGAGCCCATTAAAATAGCAGCTCAATGTCATGAACCTGCCAGGCTGTCAAACACATGAGCCTGGGTCCCAGAGTGCCTTTATATAAGTCAATACCTGTCCTTCTCTGAGGACCACTCCTTAATTCATTCGCTTACTTAGAATTTTATATAGAGAATACTGTCTTTATGCAGTTCTCATTCTTCCTCGTTGCTTATTTGGTCCTGCTCCTAACCCGGGAAGTCCAGCTTTGTGTAGGTTTTATTTTGTTCCTGTCTCTGACAAACTGTCCCAAGTAGGTCTGTTTGCTACCAAACAAAAAGGCAAAAAGGAAGTATCTGTAGTCTGTTGCTGGTGTACAGAGAGCAAATGGAGAGTGGAGGCGGCCCCAGCCATCTTTGTACCACCCTTAGGTTTTGCTCATCTTGATAAAGTCGTGCCACTGCATTTCATCTTTACATTTAAATTGGAAAACTGATTTCATGAAGTGATTTCTAGATTCAAGCCTTCTGAGTTCTCCCTGTAAAACTGCCATTCCAGACGAACAAGGTGAGCAGTCGTGATAGCAGCCGGTTCTTGAGCACACGCACAGTAGCCTTTGAGCGCGCCCTGGCCTGTGGTATCCATGACGGCACGTGGGGAACCAAGGACAGGGGCCTGGGTCGAGGCTGCTGTTTCCTGAGGTGCTCTTGATTGTGCTACTTAGCTGAGCCAAGAGGACACCTCCGGTGGCTGGGGATCTTTAATGTCGGCTCTCCCAAGGGCCTCAGCCCGTTCTTACAGGAACATGACCTGTCAGTGAGTTGAGTCAAAAGGAAATGACAAAGATCTAGTATGTGAGTACAGCGTAAGCTCTGCCCTCCGCTGGACATTTATAGTAAATGAGGCACTTTGGAGTTTTCGTGGATCTGGAAAGAGCCGCCTGCCCTGGGGAAGCCTCTTTGTGGAAAGCAGAAGGAAAAGGACACGTTGGTTTAGATACCTTTGTGGTTCCCTTGTGGTTAATAGTAGAAGGATTTCTGGAAGTGCCTAAAAAACCAGAATAGAAATGGATCTGAATTGATGAGAACTCAGACATGGTAGAAATGATGTTTTAATGATAAAACTAGAATTAGTAAAATGTTGGTAGTTTAAGGAAATTTCAACCAAGGCATTAGTTACTTGGCTTTTAAGCCCCCATGTTAGACCCATGTACACAATTCTGCCCGTGGGAAACCATGCTCAGGAAAGGATTCCATCCAGTCATCCCTTCCTAGCCTACTCCCTGGACTCCCAGCCCCACACCGAAAAAGGAAAAGCCAAGTTTTTATTATCTGCAGTGCCTTTGGTCCTGCTCGCATCATGTGATAACAGGGCCGCTGAGCCACTTTCCGGCTTAGCAGGTTACCCTCACAAAGAGAACAGTGAGGGCCCAGTCTTCAACAAAGAGCGTCTGTCGTGGGCGCCCCCCGGAAGCTGCTGCAGCAGGAGCAGTCCCTGAGGAGCCTGGGCTTCCCCTCACTTGGCCCTGATTGTGTTATTTCCGTTCTCCGGGGCACTCAGCCAGAGGATGTGTTGTGGACGGTTAGAAAAGGGAGTGATGAAATGTGCCCAAGATTGGAAATTCACAAGTTCCCTCTCCTAGTTTCATGTTCTTTTCCCACCTGTCTCTTCCATCCCAAAGAATAAAAATCCTTAAATAATATTCCACCAGGCATGATGGGCATAATGCTTTAGTAAAAGATCTAATAGACCCAAGAGAGTATGAGGGATTTTTCCACTAGGCTAAACCTAATTTTAGCAAACCTTTCCATTTTTCAGGCTTCAGATGCCTGCTGTTTTTTTTTTTTTAAGCTTGTATGTAGGTCAAACTCCCACCAGTTTTTGCTTTGATGCTACTGTTTTGAAGCAATGTCTCATCTCTTTCTCCTTCTCACCTCCCTTTCTACCAGGGAAGGAGATACCTGAACTTTTTTTTTTTCTTTT